ACATGCAAATTTCACTGAATGTTTAGATCCGGTAGGGTAAGGCAGACCCATAGGCGTGATGCTTCATAGTTAGCTTTACTGCAAAAACCTTAGTGGTTTTAATTTATAATAATTTAAAAATATGAGTCCTATAATTAGGTATAAAAGATTAGGTATTATAATAATACACGCGTAGATACTAGTTTAATGTGCATATTAAAAAAATACATATATATTATGTTTCTAGTTAACCTGGTCTCATAGGTAATCCTCTATCAAACCTCGAGTCTATTGCTGGTACTAAAGATTCCATAAAATATTTTGTAGTTTGAGGTTCAATATTATTTGTCCAAAATTCCACATTGAATTATTTCATCAACTATAAAACATTCAAAAAAAATATTTGTTTAATATTTTGATATGAAATAAAAAATAAAGTAAAAATAATTGAGAGTTGAATGTATAATATTTGTAGCCTATATACTCAGAAACTACTTGACCGATTTTGTGAAAATTTCAAATTGTTCTTAGAGATATTAGGAATGTTTGGAGAATAGTTTGAATCTCTTTCGATCTATACCTAGTGTTATATTCAATCTGCTACAGGTGAATTGTACATCTCGGTCGAATCAGTTTACAAAATGAGGTACACCGGCACCGATTTGCCAGTAAACTGGGGTACACTATACACAACCAAGAAACACCAAAAATTCCTTTTTTTTTCCATTTTTTCGCTGACAGGTCATACCTATATACGGCTAAAAATGAATGTTGGTATATCCTAAGTTAATGGACTAAAAAACTACCGGGCCGTTTTCAATAAAAGTTATAACAATAGATTTATCGAGACTCGTAGGGTGTTATAGCTAATTTTTTCAACCCCTATAAGTAGATAACAGGTGTACTACTGTGTATTTTATTAATAAAAATGACTTCTAAGGAAATACTTTCAGGATTCGTAGAATTGTCGTGTTTTGATTTTGTAATTTGACTGTTTTTTTTTATCTGAAAGAAGAAAACATTTTACAGCTCGCTTTTAACTTATTTTATTTCAAATAATTGTATATAATAATTTGTAAAAAGACAGAAAATAGGTAACGACTTTGCTGTACAGTAGGCGTGTAATGTTTAATTGAATCTCGTCATTGATAGATCACTAAGATATGTATATTAAACGTGTAAATAATATATATATAAACTAATAAACTGCATAAATAAGGAACAGGACCTGGTATACTGGCTATAATCTATATTATTGGTAAATTATTAAAGCCAAGACGTAATGCGTACAATTTATTATACACAAATAATAATTTTTATTATTATTATTATTAAATAGCTTTAATTTCAACACTATTACAGCTCAGCAATTAAGGTAGATTAAAACCAATTACTAAATTGTATTTATTCATATAATTTCTATCGATAAAAAAATAAAATGTTCACATTACATAAATAAAACTGTAGTAATTCTGTGTTATATATTCCAACAAAATGTTATCGTTTTCGAATAAAATTAATACGCATGGTATATTATAAATAACGGTATAAATGTATAATGTATACAATATTTTCACAAATACAAACACATAACTGCAGACATTTAGACGTGGGGTTAACCAGCAGTACTACTTGTCTTTCGGCGTTTTCGAGTAACTATATAGTATACTATGGGCAGGTGCACAGGCAAGAGAGGATTTTGGACGTCATTCGACAAGACTGATGTGTTTTGTTTGCTTGACAAATGCGGTATTGTCGCAGTGGATCGTTTGTATATATGTATTATGCATTATGCATCACAATAATAGTAAATATGACGCGACGAGATCAAATACTCGAACGAGAGTGCGAACACAACAGCGGAAAATAGTGTGATTTTTTTTTTCATTTTAGTACAATAAAGTAGTATATATTCACCTCGACACGGTGATGTATCGTACTTACGTAAGCGAAAAGCGTTATTTTTCTTCCCATCAAATCTATTTAAGTATATTATATTGTACTGACATCTGCAGCTATACAATATAGTGTTTATAATGATAATAATAATAATTATGATCGATAAAGTATACGTAGGTACGCGTATACTATTATGTTGTAAAGTTTTATTTTTTATTATAATTAATATTATGTTCTTGACACTATATATTTTGATAGACGATAATATTCTCATAATCTTTGTCAAGAGTGAAAACATAATAGTATTCGACTTTTATCAATCTTGATGTATTGCTGTTTTGACAGTTCTGTTCTACCTACTTCTACTTACAATACAATACAGTAAATAAGATTACATTTTGCCTTTCTCAGACACGAATAACAACAATAGAATAAATATTTACATACTTCGACGTAAACTTAACTACACTTTAACAACATAAAATGCCATCAGTTTTGATACTAATAGTTTTGATAAATTAATTTGATAAAAATAAATAAATTATTAATTAGAATTTGTCTAGAATATACTTTATAGTATTTGTAAATTGCATTGGTAACTATAGTATACAGTTCAAAAATGAATTATTTTTATTATGCAGGGAGACATGGAGTAAACGTGTGTTCATAAATGAGGATATTATACGCACCTACTAAAAAGAGTATATTATTACTACCTACTAAAACTCATACTACCTACTTAGTATTTACTATTAAGGAAGGTTTATTATTTATTTTCATTTAATCATATTTTGCTTTACACGTATGAAAGTACGTTTAAGTGTTTAACGGTGTATTGTGTAAATAATATTATAGACTTATCACTTATGGTATTGGTATAATGGTATGTCTTTGTACAAACGTCATTGATGATATTATGTACATAATGTTAGTATATTTCGCCACAGAAAACCCAACTCTAATAAAATTATGTGTGTTTTTATTATTTATTAATAATCAATTTGATTCGTTTGAATAATCCCATATAAATAATAAATATGTTAATCGAAACGTGATCATTCACATAAAATATTATAATAAACATATGTACAATGTACATGGTATATGATAAAAGATAATTTAAATTTAAAATTATTCATGATGAAAAAAAATATTATCATAATTCATAACATTTAAGACGCGTTACTGTCCGCTGTATAGGTGTTTACAAAAAAAACCAATTCGTTATAAATGTATAATATTTTATTATGTTGTAGAAAAATGATTGCGGTCGATAATATAAATATAAATTATAATAAAATATAAAATAATATTTTTTTTTATTCCAAGACGCGTGCTGTCAAATCGATTTCGTAGAATTTTCATCCAAAGGCATTTTTAGTATTGTCGACTGAATATTATACATTTTGAAGACATAAATAGTATATTAAATAGATTCTTGTAATTTTCGAGTCACACACCTGTATATACGAACTACAAAGTGTGATTTAAAATCAAGCCAGATTTCCACTACACCGTGTCAGCCGTGGCCCATATATTTAAAATGTAGGTAACATTTTGTTACCTACAAGATTAATAAATGGGACATGACATGATACGGTTTAAATCTTCTTTATTCATTTTTACCGTTTTATTATCATTTAAGTACGTAGTAACTAGTAAGCGTACTATAGATATCAATGATTCTATTTTATTCTATTTTTTAATTTGATCTGTCATATAAACTGTTTGTATTTTTTATGCTTAATTGTTATCTATAATAGCAAGTCTGGTCAACTGAATAATTATATTTTAATTACTTTTATGATATAAACTTGAGGCTGAAGTTTAAATTACATAATATATAGCATTGTAGACGTATGTGCGTTAGTGGCAATAGTGCGTAGATGCTTGCAATCAAAAACCTAACATGAGGTCTTCAGATTATTTAATCTATTGAGTCACCTAAATTAACTAGTTTTATGGATTTTAATTTTTGTAATAACTCGAACGCTCTGAATTATTTGATTCATTTAATAGTATGCAATATGTTGCAGCTTCGAAAATCATAGTCGCAACTGGGTGGAGGATTGAAAAGAAGGGCTAAGCCGCCCAAATATTTTTTATTACTACAGCTTTTATGTATATATTGGATAATAAGTCACGAAAAATTATTCTTTTCAATCAGTTCAATGAGGTGACAAGGTAAACATTTGGCTAGCAACAAGTCTGTTTCTCAAATTTGGCTATTGCCGATATTGTACCTAAATTTATTTAAGAATGATGGTATATATTAGAAATATATATATAATTTGAAATACAGCATTTTATGTTAAAATAAATTTTCAACTTATTAATTTCTGGTCACATTAAAAGAGTAATAGAGATTGAGACGTCCATTATCAAAAACCGCATAAACTAGTATTTATATTTCTATTCTTCTGATTCAATGTAGAGCAAAAATGTGTTTGATACTCTATGTAAGTCCACTGCATATTTGTTAAAAACACATCGATAAAGTAGTATGGGCTCCGGGAAACACTAACTAGTGTAAAAATTAGTCCACAACGTGGTATATATGTTTATAAGATAATAATAATTCAAAACGTAAGAGCTCCATGTTTATCATATAACTACACAATTTTATTAACTTTAAATAGGTATATAAACAAGTAAATATTAAAAATCACAAAATAATATTTTCTCAGGATAAATTAATAAATAATACTTTATAAATTATTGAAATATCTAATACTATATAATAATATACGATTTCTGTTTTTATTTCCATACTATATTCGGATGTTCCGTTGGTTCAATAAGGTATTATACATAGATCTATACGATTGATATTGATAATTTTAATTTGGAAAAACATATTATAATATATTTGAGTAAAAAGTAGTAATAATAATTATGAGTCACACAAATTATGCATGGAAAATGCTATAAATATATAATATGTTTTTCCAAATTAAAATTATCAATTTCAGTCGTATAAATCTGTATGTAATATATATATATAAACTTATAATTATTTAATATAGTATGTAATATGTATGCGTGGCGGTGGCACTAATTGGATTTTGTATATTGTTGTTATCTCTACACCGCAGGTTATCAGTGTAACAACAACAAGTAGGTATACACATATAGTATATACATCAACGACGGTTCGGCAGTGCATTGCAACGAATAGACGCCCACGGGTATATAATATTTACTTACTTACTCTTAGCCGATCCGCGGTATAATAATAAATACTATACTATACTAATAATAATAATATTTTCAACACGAATTGACTGTACGTTTTATTCGCCGTTGTCATCTATATCGTGATTTATTTGATTTATTCATCCAATACAACGTCCTTCCGGTTTAGTTTCGACACTGGTTCGTACACCATCACCTGACGCCGTGACAGTGCAGCGGTCACGCACCATCGTCAGCACCTATAATATATAGGTACCTTTATCGGCTATTGTCAATACACCGACACTTATCGTCATCATTATGTACTCGTCGAAACCCGTGACCTATGTCAGAAGGCTGCTTTTGCATCGGACAATTCAGTTCCGACGGAAGAAGTCGTCGGCTGGGGCAGCGGAATCGAACGCAAAGGTCGTAAACGACGTACGCCACGTCCGGGGCGAGTATAGCAGCGTGACCCACGTCGACGTCCTTCACTTCCGGTCGTTGCTGGGCGAACCAAACGTGCTGACCGGCGCCCAAAACGTCGGGCCGTACAACGTGGATTACATGAAACACGCGTCGGGTAAAGACTACAAATGCACTTTTTATAGTTATCATTATTGTGCATCAAAGTCATCGCTGTGACTTCCGGATACTTAGACATCGAGTTGAATACTGAATGCAAAAACAAAACCAAGTACGGTTTAAGGGGGGTAGAGAGGACACGGTTCCGGGGCCCATTGATTGTGGAAGCCAATCTTTATCGCCAAAATATATTTTTAATGAGTTAAAAAGTTTTCAAAAAATAAAATTAGGCCGGCATAGCTGATAGTCTTCATTATCTATGATTGTACCTAGGTGGTAATAATTGATATTAGGTGTTTTTGATGTATTCATGGGTACCATATAATTACAGTGTACAAAATTATATAATTATCTTATACAAGAGTAAAAATGTAGTGATACTAATTTTGTTTGAAGTTAAAGTTGAAAGAGGCCTACAAGTGTTTGGTGTCCCGTGCTCCATTTGATCCTAATCCATACTTGAACAAAACCCCTACGTACCCGCAGGACACTATAATTATTAATATATAGAATATACCCAAGAAATGACCAATGATTCGAATTGTGGAGAAGGATTCTTATAATGAGTTACATCCTTATACACATTTTGGCAATAATTTGAGTTTTTAATACTCACACGGAAGGTAGCACACCTGCACACCTGTGCACAAATTGTTTCTTTTCATTTTTGTCTTTTGATACAGATTGTGATACAGCTGATTATTTTCTTATCAATGTTATTCTCGTCGAGTTGAATGAAACTTCAAAATAGTCCATTTTAATGTCTTATCCGCGCAATCCGTTGTAATCGGACTTGGTAATAATAATAATTCGATAAGAAAGCGAAAAATTAATCTCCCGAGGTTGGGAAAAAAATCCTCACCAATTAAATTACCGTATCTATGCCCTATGGCAGTGGTTCTTAACCTTTTTCGAATGACGGAACACTTAACATTTTACAAGATTTTCGCGGAACACAACCGTAAAATAAAATAGTAGTACACACATTTTTAATTTTTTAATATATTAAACAATAAATGTATAGCATAAAATTGTTTGCATGCCATACATGTTAGTGTTAGTCACTAAAAAATAATAAAATAATAAAAAGAGTTAAAAAAAATTTAAAAATTTGAAATTGAATACTTTGTATGAGATATTTGTGCCTGATGATTTTTACAGATATTTTCAATATCTGGCCGTATGTACGATATTGCTACTCTCATTTCCTCTTCAATATTTGTCAGCCTTTCTCGTTTCTTTGTTTTGATATTCGTCAGTGTTGAAAATCCAAGCTCACATAAGTATGATGTTGAAAATTGTAATAATATTGAAATTGCTTTTTCAGAAATCTTTTTAAATTCGGTTTGAACTGAAATCCAAAATTCTTCTACTGTTCTTTCGGAAAATTTTATTTTTAGAGTTCGATCTGTTGTTAGCGTTATGAATTCTTCCTCTTCTTCTAACGTAAATTCATAACTTGACGTGTTGATGGTAGAAAATGGATCTCATCATTGAAAGTATCATCATTGACATTGCTTGTATTTGTACTTGCATTATCAGTACCAGAATCATGTTTCCGTTTAAGAAATTTGTCAATTTTGTCAAAAAAAAAACCGTGGGCAACGTACTAATACTAATGTATTTTATAACTTTTATTAGTGCAGAAAATAAAATTGTCAATATCTATACGTTTGTTATCGCAGTATGGTGGGGATTATCGTATAATATAATAATAATAATGTATATTAATATATTATATAGTATACTGACACATTATATTATTCGAAAGTTAACGATAACGTTTTTGTGTACAAAAATAAACCAACAAAACCTAAAATGATTCTATTTTGAAAGAATTTTTTTTTCACTGATTTTAAAATTTTTGCGGAACACTTATACGAAGTCCACGGAACACCTGTGTTCCGCGGAACACCGGTTAAGAACCACTGCCCTATGGGGATATATGCCGTTTTATATTTTTGTTTATACCATTGAATAATTTGATTTGTTTCCAAGCATGTGCTAAACAATTCACCCCTCCATGGGAAATAAATCGATGGTCGTTCAACATAAATGTTTAGTGTTGACTCTAGCTTTATAGTCACACTGTATTATAGTATTATTATACACCTAATGTAGACATGTAGTAGTGTAGATAATAATTAATAACGTTTTGGAGCGAGAAAAATACTCCGCCGTTTGCTGATTGTTTCCGACCGGTCAGAGTTCAAATAACTATCAACCATATAATAATACCTTCCTACATGGCTATTTATGTGCCTACACTCTCGTGGTCGTGCAGCAGCACGTACATGATACATATATGGTCTTTATTGATTTTCACCACAATCCATTTTTCTTTCAATATTCCGGCGCCGTAAATACGCACCATTTATCTTTGTGTTCTTCTTCTCATTGCCGGGTTTTCTCTCGCACCGTTTAATTTCAAATCCCGCTGCTGAATTATTGTTTTCGTCCCACAGATGTACATACTATAAATTCACGCTCTCGTTCTGCTACGTTTTATCTCATCGAAGTCGTTAATTTCATCTATAGTGCGACACATCTAATTTTACATCAGTTTATCAGTTATTTTTATTTTAGGACATGTGGTAGTACGGAAGCCGATAACAAAAATTGAACTTTCTACGGCAATAAAATGTTATTAATTTATTGTTTTTAACGGCGTTCATTTAGACCAATTATTTCAACATCATAAAATATTAATAACAAAAAATATTATTCGACGTAACGTTGTAAATAGTTATTAAATATCAAATTGTTAATATTGGTCCAAATTTGTAATTCATATAAATTTCTACCTAAATGATAATACATAGATAAACAATAATAATATTGTAAGTTATTAAAGTAAAATTAATAAATGTAAATGTGCCACATTATACTATTTCGATTAACTAAAATAGTTATCCAAGATTATATTTTTCGGTTTTTATGCGATGTATTAAACAAAATGAATTTTACTAACTTTGTATTTAAATTATTTCATTTATTATGTTGTTTAACTTGTATTTTTATTTTTTTTTAATTTTTTTATTTAACTTTTACTTAAGTTTTTTGAAAATTAAAAAAAATGCATAATCTTATTATATTTCGCGGTATTGAATCACTAGCAAGTACCAACTAAGGCCAAAAATTAAATACATCTATGATCCTAACATGTTATATTAATTATCTTTGAAAACATATTAAATATCAAAGAAATTTCAAAGAATGCCAAATCACGAAGAAAAATATTTAGTGTAATTAAATTTTTTAATTCACCACTATATAATGCAACGAACTTATAACGTAGTTTCTAAACACCGTAAACATTTATAAAAACATGCAAATCCTACAACTTCTGAGCACTAATTATTATAAATACACGCGTAGTGTCCATTAAAGTACACTTAGGTGACACAATATTTACACGGTCGACGGTCATTACATCAGTGTTATAATTTATATTATAAACAATAGAGGTGTTGATCACTTTAAAATTAAATAAATATATTTTTTTAATACGAACATGAATATTTAATAATTCCTGTGTTCAAACAAATCAATTACGGGTAGAGTCATGTAGTACACGCAGCACCTCATTATCATAATATACAAACGAAATTATTCCAATAATCCTATCGAAATAAAAACTTGGTGAAAGATTGTTAGTGTGGTGTACTTAATTATACGTGATGAAAAATCTCCCATTACGGCTGGTTTGCTGTTAATAATCGAGAGCAAAGTTAATAAAAATTATATGAAAATATAATACACGTGTGTATATATGAGTGTGTTCGGTGTGTGGGTGTGTGTTTTGTGTGTAATATGCATTAAGCTCCAATTAGTTTTATTGCAGGGCACGTAATGGGGTGGATTCGGAATTTCGAATTCGTAGGGTTGACGGAGGGTGAAACCCATCGAAAATCGGTTGAAAATAAAATTGAATTATTTTCACGCATAATGTGAAATAAAACGATGAACAAACTATTTACTCCTTGCATGTACAGTGTACACCCGTAATCGTATACCTATTCATGCAGCATGGGTCATGTAGTTTGCTCTATACTCTGCAGCTAACAGTCAGCTTATTTTTATGTATGGCTCACGAAGGATATTTACGTGGTACAAAATATACCCACAGATAGTTGAAATTGCCAATAAAGTTTTTGTCGAATGCCCGTAAAAATATAATATCGAGAGTTATTTTAGGAGGAGTAGTGCATGAATGCATGACTAAAGTCCTCACACAGAAAAATATATTCAGTTCCACTGTTGCGAGTTTATTGTCATTATAAGTTATCTTAAAGGTTTACATTTTTACTCAAATATATGAGTAATTTATTTTAACTCTAAACAAATCCGGAATCAATATATACGTATCCCCGTACTACACCCAACATGGCAATACGAATCTAAGAACCAACTATAGAGCACTTTTATCCAGAAAAAAAATAAATACCATTATGGTCGGAGACCCAACTCGGATGCAGCCTTTTCTTTTATAATATATGACTATATGACGGGATGACCCGATTCTCCGCCTATAACAGCCAACAAATTACGATCACGGCACAAAAGCCGGACAACGACGGCCGCGTTGAAATTGTATGGCTATAAAACGTCTGGAATTGAACTCACGCGCACAATATGCATACACATATATATATACACGACTATACGGCAAGACCAGATGGAGTGGGAGGCTGGGTGGCTAGATCCAGGGGCACATAGATTTTATAGGGCCTCGTTCTTTCTCATACCATACATTTTTGCGTGATGCTAAAATATATAAAGCACTAGGAGCTATGCGAACAAACCGTATATAGAGTGATTCACTAAGCATGCTCACACCAATTTTTTTCTTTAATAACGAGTTTATTCAAATTCGAATTTTTATAAATTTATGTATAATTCATATTTATATTTTCATCTTTCATGTATTCTTACATCCGTAGTTGTCTCCGTCTTACAAACGTACCAACCAGAGGCATTGCAAATTCTACGTTCACAATAATCTATTTTACTTTGTAATTTTTGAAATAAGAGTCAATTATTAAGGTCTAGAGTATTTTACTATTTTTAAACATTTTATTGAAATGTTGATTTTATAATATACAAAATATATATAGTTTTACATGTTCATAACTTGCTTCATAATTAAAATTTTAATTAAAGTCTCCGAGGTGTATGCTCTACATAATAATCTTAACTTTAAATACATCATAGATCAATTCTCTCTAATTTTAAAAATAACAGAATAAAATGAATTATTGAGATTTGATTTGCTATGTTGTACTTTTGTAAGACGTAGACGACGCTCACTGGAGTGGCCCACTCTTAAGGAACATATTTTCAATTTGTTAGATTTTTATACCATTTAAGGAGTGTATGGCAATACAAACCTTTTTTTTTAAAACGAGGTCAACCTCTTAAGTTGAAAATGTTAAATATAGATGATTTGTTTAAGAAAGTTGATGTGTCTAAATAAAATATCAAACGATTAGTTTCTGAGTTATTAAAATGTATACTGTAGGGCGTAGGCCTACTAATATATATAGTAGGTCCTAAAAATTTGTTTACAAAAATATAAAATATAAATATATACATAAAATATTATAGATCTAGCTCTAGTGTCCATTAAACTGGTGACATTTCTAAAAAATTAAAAAATTTTGTATAATAATTACCTACTAAAATGTTTATATCATCATAACCCACATGGTCCAAATCTTCAAAAGCCATTATCGTTTTAAACAAAATAGCTATAAACCTAAAACCAAACAAATATTTTATTTTTTCACTTCTTAATCATAGTATTTGCATAATATAGACTCGTGGACATAATAAACCATTCATGATCAAATAATAAAACAAAAATATCATCAACTCAAAATCTTTATGAATTCATTTTTACTTAATATGCTATTGTTAGCAGTAAACCTTACCGATGTTAAATTATAAATTACTGGTACTATATCCCTTAATTTCGCTAATGGCATACATTTTAAAGACAAAGTTGAGAAGGGCCAAGTACAATAGTGTCTTGCGTGTTGATGGATACAAAAGAAAATATTTTATTTATTTTTATGATTGTTTTCATTATTATTATATTAACTATATCGTCGTCGTTGTTGTTGTTGTTGTTGTTATTATTAATATTTTCATTATTGTTATTGTTATTGTATTTGATTGATGTGTGCGTGTGTACAGGCGATAGCGGGCTGGTGTTAAGACCGAAAACCGCAGAAGACGTGTCGGACATACTGAAGTACTGCAACGACAGGAGCATTGCGGTGTGCCCACAGGCTGGCAACACGAGCTTGTCGTGCGGTAGCGTGGCGCTATTCGACGAGGTGGTCTTATCCACGGAGCGGATGAACAAAATAATTAATTTCGATCCCGTGTCCGGTAAGTACGGCGTACGTAAGAGTAACAATTATTAAAATCATATCTTTTGCTGTACATATTATAATACACAATAAAATAAAATGTACAATATTATAATATGCTGTATAATTACAACACATAAATGAAAAACGCGATGCCGATTAGGAGGGTTCGAAACCCCTATTTTTGAATAACGTTTTCCGGAGAAAAAAATGTTATTGATGGGGACGGTGATGAGCACTCTGTATTGTATTCTTGCATGCGTGCGGTTCTCGGGCGCGGTCGGCGGCGCCAAAACTAGGTAGTAGTAATAGTGTAATACAGTATATTATAGCAGTTGTTGTGGTATATATTATGGTACACAGTATATCATACTATAAACCACTGGTATAGACCGCGTTGTGCATGCCAATCTTAAAACACGCTCCACAGTGTTGTATTTCTGAAGTGTATATGTAGAGATACCGTATTTACTTCACACAATATCATATTATAATATGTATAATATATACCTACCATTATAATATCATATTATAGGTATACCGTAACGCACATTATTCAGGGTAATATATTTTGTGCAGGAAAATATCAATAGTAGGTACTCCAATTTTATTGGCCTGTGAAATTTTCAATATTTTTACTGGCTCATTATGATTATGAATGGGACGAACTAGGTGGATATGAACCAATTTTTTCAGTCTTTCAGTCATGCAATTCATTTGTCCTGTAACAACAACGATGTGATCCTCCTCCTTCTTAATTTTAGACACCTGGGTCACAAATTAATAACTTTGCAATTTTTTTTTAAAAGCTAGTACCTACTTTACCATTTAAACCACTCATGTTTAAATGCATACAACTATTCTTACATATTGACCAGTGTAATTATATGCAAATCTACGGATTAGGGCGTTGTCTTTAAAAAAAAATACAAACCTATTATAAATAGTCTGGAAAAATTGTATTTAAAAAAAGTTTGTGCATAGTAAATGAGTTCAATTTTCAACCGTCACAAAACAAATAGACAAAGGAACATATTTTTTGATGGAAGAAAATTTATTTTTATACTGTATTTTGGCCCAATCTAGTGAACATTTTTAGTTTCATATATTATGACAGTGGCTTAAGGAATAATAACAGTTAACGTGTTTGGCGTTTGTCTATTAAATAGTTAAATCCATAAAAAAATATTTTATTTAAAATCATTAAAATATACTCACTGCATAATAATCGTGCCAAAAAAAAATATTTAGGTTAATTTTTAATGTTAACCACTGCAGTCATCTAACTTAACGTAAGTAGGATCTGCCTATTATTTTTCAAATTAACTGAAAAAGGCTATGTTATTAGTTATTTTAATGGACAAGGACAATTAATCTAGTTAAGCTATTAAGTTAATTAAAGAATTAACTAACTAGTTAATGCCCACCTTTGAGTATAATATATACCTATACATAATAATATGCATCATAGTATATGTTGTATAATATTTATTATAGCAGTAGAGCACATGGCGTGACGTGCGTGAAGTTGAAAATGCCTAGGGAGAATTGAAATGTTTTACTCATAATATGTCATAGTGGTGGCGTCAGCGGAAAATTGGTACCAATCATGTTCAAACAAAAAAAATGTTCTCATAAAATGTTGAATGCTATAAAAATTATACAAAATAGATAGAAAATGTCAATAAAATATGATACGTAAAACATTTATGAAGATTCAATTAATTTTTAGCTTAACGCAGATGCGCCTCTACATTATATATTATGCACACAATTTGCAAGTTTTCGATATCTTATAGATAACATAATGTTTGATTAGCTTATTGTTTAAGTGCATGTCTCTGCATACTATAAGGTGATTTGTATACGTAGATATATTTAATAACGGCCATATGTGAGTATACAGCAGTGCCAGTCTCTATAGTTCCTATACTATAAAAATAAACAATATATTAAAATATTATATACCTGCATACACATGCAACTCGAACAAGCTAAATAATAATAAATAATAATTATTATTATAATTTATGATATTTGATTATATACTATATACAGCTCGGCATGGGCATACAAATATACAATATGCTTGTACTATTGACAACTATTGTATATTATACAATATTTTTGTGCAATGTTTTAAAAAAATTTACGTAGGCAGTTTATTTTAGTCTAAAGGCTGAAGACATTTCAACCATTGGATGCAATTACGAATTAACTACGATTTATACAAGTGTGAATACGAAAATAAAATACATTGCTATTAAAAAGCTAGTGTTCCTTTCAATAAAGATTATTACTATATACACTGTTGAATGTCTTTTTAAGTCATAATTGTTATTAGATTCTACTGTATGTAGTATATAGGGAACGGTACAGACATAATAAACTTTGACAAACAAAACGAAGAACTGCATACATATAAATACTCGTAATAGTTAAATACTTGCATAACAAATACAATAAACAAACTATAGGCGCATAATAAAATGGCAATGCGTATTTCACGTTTATGTTGTCCACACGTAAGCGTTAAACATATATCATTTTGTGTAGTTTAAGTTGGTGGAAAAGTGAACACTCCGGACCCCGAATCATAGGCTATCTACCAAAATGAAATACTTAAGAGCATTTGAATTACAGAACTTGTCAATAGTACACTGCGAAGTCAAAATTAGTTATTACTACTATAACTTTACTCTATAATTAATAGAAACAAACGAGAATCTTCGTCACACCACACACCACTAAGTTTATACTCATTACTTACAACTAATATAATATGGCCTAAAGGTTTATTATATATATGACATTTATATGCAACCGAGGACAATATTTCTCACTGTACTCCTGTGCAACCTCTAAGCAAATTACCTAAACTTTTAGTTCTTTAAATTTTAGTTCTAACTAACTATAGAAGCTTTACGCTCGAGATATGATTTTTATATTGTACTGAAATTCTCAGAAAATATTCTGCGTCGGAATATTAAAATCTAAATTATTTTTTCTTTCGCAAATGTTGTTTTGTAATGACTTTAATTTAGTTGTAAGTAAGTAATTAATGTTCTCTGTTTTGAGAAAATTATTATTTACTTTTAAAAGTACCTATAACATTGTACTTTTACTATAACATTGAACGATTGTCATCGTGAACCCTTCTTTTTGATGCCAGCATACAATGTTTAATCATATAATAATACACAGCTGCAGGCCTGCAGTTATGACTTATGATTACCGAATATAATAACACAGTCAATACTCAACAGTGACAAAGAGTATGGGTACCTTTATTGTACACAGCTATAGTATACTATATTATATTACACTATACAATACACTTATACATGATATGTACACATCGCATTATTATACGCACAATATATAATAATATACAATTCACCGTACCGTTTTACAGGGGTGTTGGTTTGCGAGGCGGGATGCGTGCTCGAGTCGTTGATGAAGCACGTACATGGTCACGGATACATGATGCCGTTGGACTTGGGGTCAAAGGGCAGTTGTCAGATCGGCGGCAACGTGTCGACCAACGCCGGCGGCATACGCGTCATACGTTACGGCACGCTGCAGGGGTGCGTCTTGGGCCTAGAAGCCGTAAGTCGATAAATAGAAAAACAAAAGGGCGATAGGGTATAGCCGCGTAAATCGCCGCCATTGCAGTTTTGCGACAGGATCAAGCCATGGGGCTATATGCGTATGGCGCGTGTATATTATACGTCGTCCCCGATCGACGGTTCGTTAGGTCCTGTGCCCGATATGTGTGTGTGTTTTACTCACCACCCTCCCCCTCCCCGTCGGTATGCCGTACGGTTTTATTCGATTGATGGGATCATAATATATATGTATGTGAGAGCGTGTGCGACCCCCGAGAGGGTTTTGTGTGTGCATCCGACCGGAAAACCCTGTGGGGCTCGTGCACTTACACACGCCGCTGCGATATATTATGTATGTGTGTGTGTGTGTGTGTGTGTGTGTGTGTGTGTGTGTGTGTGTGTACTTATTACTTCGCCGCGTGCAGATATTATGTGTGCATAGGGATAACACCGGCGATGATGATGACAGTGTACATAATATAGTGTATACATATGCGATGACCGTGTGCCTGTGTGTGACCAAAAACTGCGACGATAGTTCCCTGCAGTAAATTTCTTTGCACGGACGCATGCGGTGGACCACTGCGACTGCAGCACTCCGTCGTTAGAATGCGAAAAAAATATGGAATGAAAAATAAACGTGACGACTACAATTATGATACCGTAACTGTTACTACTTACCTGTATGAAAATATTATAATTTATAAAACACGGGTATAACCGTAGAACACAATGTTAAATAATACATGTTCTATAGTATAACAATATTCAGTAATAATAATGATCGATTTACGTGCTGTACAATATATTTTATTAAAATACATGATGTAATATTGTGCACAGACTGCAGAACCGCTGAAAGTCGTTTTGCAAACAAACTGCCCACTCCGCGTCCGATGTGCGTACAACAACAAGTCTTTTTCACGGTCGATTTATCGTAATAAGTAATAACAATATAATATAATCGTTTTAATCCGACCGTCCATACCTACGTAAATGCAGTGGCCACGTACATTATCGATACGCACGCTATAAACCCGAATAGATACCGTCAATGTATATAAAATAATATGGTTTCGTAATCCGTTAAAAGATTATACCCATCAGCTTATTATAATATAATATATTATCATATTACCGTATTGAGAACCGATGAATGGTGGTCTCTGCCGTCGTTTTCTGCGACTGTCGTTTACAAATATCACACTCGTATACACTAGCTTATAATATTTTATAGAAGGCGGTGCAGGTCAGCCTTTGGAGGGGTTTACGTTGATAATTTTGTACGCCATTTAAATGAGTTTTAGTGTTTATTTTCTACATGTTTTCCGAGTTTTGGTTAACAAAACATTCACGTGCTTATTATTGCTATTATTATACGCCTAATGTATTCTAAAACCGAAACGGACAGAACTGAACTGCTTAAATAATAACGTTAGAAAATGTAAACACGCAAAACGAAAAATAATGTATATCATTAAAAGTTGAAACACAAAACGGAAAATTACTATACGTAGACATTACCTGTTTGTTTATTTAATACACTGCACCGCCGCGTCCATCGCTTTGGATAAGTGAGCGGGTGAGAAGGGCAGCCCCTTCGGCTTTGCATCGATATAGCTGATTACAATCATTTCGTTTTCGGGCCATAATATTATACATTTATACACTACGGGTCGACAGAAGTTAAATACACACCTACCTATATATAAATTTGTATTTATAAACCGCCATAGCTGTGTGTATTAGCATTTAACACTGACGAAGCCTCGCGAAACGCGATCACGTGACACGAAGGTTTCTATAGCACGGTAGTCCGCCTAATCGACGTGTAAAAAATAACTTAAAACAATAGTGGTTAGTGCCCTTTACGCCTAAATGAACGCGACGGATCGATGGAAATAATTACCGTGCATAGTGCCTACTATTTGGCGTAATATTAAAACCTAAAGGGCGCGTAATAAATTATTTTTCTAAATAATGACAACTACTACATGTTATTTTACAGGGAAGTCTCAGATTCCAAAGTATCCGTCAATCTTTGTTTGTATTCCCGACAGTGTAAACGTATTACACTATAATGCGGTATTGGCATATTTCAGCGGCTCTGTCAGTACTATGAATAGGTACTTACTACCCATACTTATGACGATATCATATGACTATGAGTATATGACTAATGTGCGGTTTTTGGCATTATACTACAAATACTAAATTATACATTTATACGTACGATTAGTACACTCACTCCGAGCAAGCTTTTACATCTCGTTTTTCTAAATTCGTTCGTTCTATTACGCTCCAATAAGACGTCGAAAAAAAAATCAAACAACACTCTCCTCACGCATGCAGTGCAAACAAAACACAAAACCGAATCATATCGAATACTTAATTTTCCTTGGCCAAAAATATCAAACCACAGGATTTACTACACACGAAGAGAGAATCTAAGTGTCCGGAATATCACACGAAAGTCTACATAGAGCACTTGAGTGTATATAATGAAGCCAGAATAAAATTCAATGTTTCCCCTATTCTTGAGTTGTCACTACTCACTAGACCCTTCATCCAACTTACTGATACTCTTCAAAAATGCTCAAATTTAAAATCTAATATATCCATTCCTTAATTTCAAGTGTTTTCCTTATAGGTAATGTATTTCAATACATCTAATCGTGGTGTTTTAATCCATCAAATACAATATATTTTGAAACAACCAATGGCCTGTGCCGTGTACAAAATGCCAACGGTTGTTGGTGGTTAAAATATAAGCCAACCTATAGGTACCTACTATAATTTACGGGAAACAGATGGTAATGTTTTTATTTTCCTCTCTCTAGGTTTTCCGTTGCGTCAAAAAACAAATAAAAAACAACGATGGAAAAACGCAACATAATAAACTGCACCGCGACGGCGGCGGTGGTGGCAAAATGAGTTTGAACGGTTGAAAACGCGGCTTTGGGGCCCTAAACTTTCCCTTAATTACGTGTGTTTTCATTGGCACCGAAATCGGAATTGGTATGCATAGTGCGTATACGGTTTCCACGGAATGCCACAGCCTCCTCTTTCCCTTCGCCCACTCACCCCGTCAGTTCCCAAACGACATCAGTTCCCTCTCAACCACCACTTTTGTAATTGCGTATGTCTGCCGCCGTCGCCGGTGATTTAGCAATCGGCCCGACGCTCAATTAAGTGGGTTCAGTTTTTTCTTTTAACTTCCCTTTTTCTTTTTTTTAATCAAATCAGTGTTTCATGTTGTTCTTTTCCTTTTTTTTTATCGCCCAGACATCCACCGAAACTCTCGAGGCTCACTATAATATACCCACGACGCCAACCCTCTTTTTATTTATTAAAGCCATTTATTTTTTTCCCCCTTTTATTTTTACCAAATTTTACTGGGAGGCTGTGAACGAGTTTTTTTTTTTAATTAGACGCAATCTCGTTTTTATATTATATAGTTATATATGTTGTACTGCATTATATTATGTACACCGTAATTATTATAGTAAAATATTAATATACTCTGAGGTGAGACGAACATTTTAAAATATTTATACTAGGTAGTAGGTGTACATGCGGGTAAATGAGTACGTTCGTAACACGTGTTGGGATCAACAAATATTTTATTATTGACGCCACTTATATAGTGACGGCTTAACAATGCCTTTATTATAATAATATGGTTTAGGTGATTACTATTTAATAATACGTGTTTCCCTGTAGTATAAATGTATAATTTATCGCTGTCATTATTGCTTTATACTGTTAATAATGATTATTATTTATTAGAATTTATTTATTTGTTCACTCAAACATCAATTGCGGTACTCATATTTTTACCAAATAATAATTAAATATTATTGTTACTTATTTAAAAAAAAACAAAATGATAATATTATTTAATTATAGGTCACCGCGAATGGTACAATTTTGGACTGTTTGAATACAATGCGAAAAGACAACACAGGATACCATTTGAAGCATTTATTCATTGGTTCAGAAGGCACGTTGGGCATTGTCACCAAAGTAGCGATATTGTGTCCAAATCTTCCGAAGCACGTAAACGTGGCATTTATTGGTAAGAAAACACTTATTTATATCTAATAACTTTATATTACTTTAGATCATCAATAATTGTCTGAAGTAAAACTGATGCATCACATAACACTAATAAAAAGAGGGGGAAGTAAATAACCACTTTGTTGTACATTAGAAGTCGAGTGTTTTGAGTGTATCGTTTTTGAGTAGAGACTGAAATAAAGGACGTGTCAAATTTAAATTCAATGATAAACCATTAGATACGATGAAAAAACGATGTTCAGCTTTTTGGTTATCCAGGTTACCTACAGAGAGTATAATTAGATCCCATTTTCTACCAGAAACCAACCCCAAAGTTGAAAATCGAAGCATTTTCACTGCCCCGAAGGGTGATGACAGACAGAAAACACACTTCATTGTAAAATCAATACAATCATCCCTCCATCCAGAATCTAAAATTTAATGAAAAAATATTTATTTATGGTAGATTACGGACAGCCACACTGTAAATAATTCTTCTTTAAAAATGTTGCATCTAATTTTGACTAGTTAAAGCAACAATTAATTTAATTAACAACGGAGTTTTAATCAAATGATTTTTTTTTTTAAATTTTTAGTGGCTAATTGCCATAACCCAAAGAATGTCATCAATTCATATGCATTTCCCTAAAATTAAACAATACTTATTCCACTTAACGCTTACTTAAGAAAAACAATTAATAAAAGCATTTGTGTACTTTATTCAAAATATGGTCGCAGAGATTATACGTGTGGCTGACTGCAATGCCACGATGATGGTCGGGTGGAAGATACTATGGTAGTTGGATAAGTGTGAATAGTGTTTACTTGTTATTTAAATTATGACTGGCAAATTAAAAGATGTGACACTGTTCTCACATTAAATTTAATATTTATTAATTTTGCGAAAAGTATCAAAGATTTATGAAAATGTACAAAATGAAATCATCTTTTTATTTTAAGTGAATATTATTTTTTAAATAAAGTTGGGGTTTTAAAAATATAATAAATTACATTTTGTCATTTTAATCATTATAGTCATAGGTAATATAAATTTGTTATTGTACATATGTTTTTTATCACTTCAGACATAATACTGGAAATAGAAAACGATGTATAATTTCATAGTTTATTATTATTATTATTATTATTTCATTTATCTATTAATAATATCGCACACCTTACGGATTGATCGCCGACGTTATTATTCTTGTTTGTTGTCAGTGGCAGAGGTGTGATGAAAAAAATATTGAACATTTTCAAACAAAAACAAACAGCCAAAGACCTACAGCTACCCAAAAATTGATTTTAATGTTCAATAAATTATTTTTTCATCAAAACAACATTGTTATATTTTTATATTTTCAATATTTATCACACACCAGCACAATTTAGATAATAATTTAGACTTGAGGCAATTGCCTAAAAAAACCTTCTTCAACACGTCACTAATGGGTGCCGGGTGGTGTACAATATTGAAGTAATTGAACATATTTACGATACGTATATCCGAATGGCAATCATCCCATTTGTAATTTTTTCGATAATATTACTTGTCATACGATTGAAAATGAGATAAAATTACTCGAAAGAGGATGTTAACAGTTTAATTTTTTTATTTTAATAAAATATGAATTGGGTTAAAATATTTCAATTAATATACTAATCTGTGTGTATAACTTTCAAAATCGAACAACTTAATAAGTTTAAATGATAAAATCAAATACCAACATTAATTGTACCTATAGTTATTAATATTTACTGTACAAATATAATAGTTTAATTATTTTACGTCGGTATCAAAAATTAAAATCACAGAATTTTTGTGGATTGATAAATTCATACTAAAAATTTATATCTGGGTACTATACTTGGATTATAATCATTTTAATTTGTAATAAGATGGAAATTCTGAAGCAACAGACAAATCTAGTAGACAAAAATGTAGTGTTTACATCGTACTTTTCTGGTTAACTAAACACCCATAGACCATAAGTCATAACTCATAAACATACTAACCATACTAAACAGTAATGTACTACACACAAACACAAGTTAAATAATAATACAGTTTAAAATCGTACTTGTAAGACTAATTGTAGAGGTAAGTCCGATAAGTTTTAAGTAGTAACAAACACCATGAGTTAAACCTTGCATAAGCAAATGCCAAATAATAATAAAAGCTTTGAAAATATTTTTTCGGTTAATATTTAAGTCCGTCGCGGAAGTCGGCTAACTTGTAGGTATACGCCTCCGGCTAAAATTGTGTATAATATATTATATTATATTATATATATATATATATAATAAACATACCGCGGTTGCTGGTCAAAAATACTCAAATTTAAAAACTAATTTAAATGTTTTTCCGTTAGGTAATGTATTTTAATACACATAATTCATGTATTGTAATCCATTAAGAGGACGGTATACCCGATATTAGGAAAAAAGTCCCCGGAAAAAAAGTCTCGGAAAAAAGTTCCCGGTGGAAAAGTCCCCAGTAAAATAGTCCCACGGAAAAAGTCCCCAGAAAAAAAGTCTCGACAAAATATAATATAGTATTATTTAAAAAATGTAAAAATGTATTTATTCAGATATAAAAGATCTCTTTCTTATATTTTGACCTATCTTCACTTATAAATTATTATAATAATAAGTAATACAAATTACCTTAAAATAACAAGTTTTTGTAGACTATTTGGTTTTATCGGGTGTAAACTGCTTCTTTGGTTACGAATACTTCTTTTTATTGAATCTTCGGATGGTAGTTCAATTAATATCTCTTTTCACCCGCATGTGTTTCCGTCTACAACTGCGTAACATATCAAATTTTATAATCAGCAAATTACATTTAGCTCCGTTATAGTTTTAAAATTAGAGTGAATTTATTGACCTCTTATGAAAATTAAAGGTAAAAGTATTATCTCGAGCATCTAATGGACTTTTTAATACATTTTAATTTTAAAGCGGGTTATGAGTATTTTAAAATTGTAAATTGTATTAAGTACTAAATTATACTGTCATCACTGTGCAAGTTGTACAGTCGTGTATCTTCTTTATGATTTCCAACCGGGAACGCATTTGCTATACATGTTTTCCCATTTTTGCATAATTTATCTTTAATTTGAAGTTATAATTTTTTATACAGGATTGGACAGTTACGATAAAGTGCTCAAATTGTTTTCCATTGCTCGTGCCGAGTTTGGAGAAACCTTATCGTCGTTTGAACTCCTGGACAAAACGGCTGTGACGTACGTGGAAAGCAAACTTCACCTCTCATGTCCGATCACCAATATCCATCCTTTCTATGTACTCATCGAACTCGCTTCCAGTCAACCGACTGTCGGCCAACACATGGAAAATGTCCTGGAAAAAGCTCTCGGTGACTCGGTGATCTCCGATGCCACAACGACCGATCAGATGTCCAGCATACACGTAACTATTTATTTTCTTACTTTTAGCCGTTTCACTGGATTCAGTATACATAGTATTTTATTCTCGTATACATAATTAGTATAACCTATAGATTATAAATTTGTAACTCATAATTACAAATACCGTTTATGTATGAGCTACAGACCGCTCGAATTGTATATGGACTTATTTACCTTATCCTGAATCTAAGATATATATATTATACTATTACAGTTCGGTTGTGATTAAATAAAAATGGCGTAATAACCAAAAACAATTTTATTTTTCAGAAAATATGGAAAGTTCGTGAGACAGTAATTGAAGCATTATTAAAGTTGGGCTACGTATACAGCTTCGATATATCGGTACCTCTGAGCCGATTTTATGAAATTGTTGAGCTAACCAGAGAAAAACTTAAGGACATAGCAGTTGTCAAAACCGTTTGTGGATTTGGTCACATAGGTAAGTTAAAAAATAAATAGATAGTAATTACTCGTATTGACGATACATTTTTATATATTAAAAGATTATTTGTTTTATTATTGGCTGAAGTCCATGTACAAGTCAATACAAGTGCAATAAACTGAAATCTAACCACAATGAGATAGAATTTCATAAAACACTATCATTAGGAACTTTAAATTGTAATGCATTTGATAGAACAATAAATAATATGATATTGATAAAAGATAATTCAAAAAAACATTAAACACTATTAGAGTGTTCATATATTGTTATATACTATATACCTTAGGTTATGTAGTATGTACATTAGTAGTAAATAGATATATTTTCATTTGGATAAAAATCGTGCATAACATAATTTATTGTACCTATATCTATTATTTACCATGCATTATTTAAAGCTTGTTTTACTATGCAATATTTATTTATGATACATTTTATATATTTTTCTCTTATATGATATTTCAATTTATTTCAACAAATTAAACATCTCCTTATTAAGCTATTACAAAGCTATTTTAATTTTAAGACATACCATTTCAATATTCCCACAATTTACAACTTAGTCAAAATATTAAAATATTAATATTTTCATGATAATAATTATTATTAAAGTCAACATTTATTATTTTAATTGTAGTTTAAACTTGTTGGTCAAATTTTTATTTAATGTTTATGAACTTTTCAAAACACTGGCTTAAAATCAAATGTAAAAGATGGAACTATATTGATGATGAAAATACTTAAAACTTATTTGTAGCTAAGCATTCAATTAATTAAATGAAAGTTGAATTCTATGTTAGGTACTATATATTCTTAGGGTATCTGTACATATATTTAATACTGAACGGTGGTTTGAAGGTAGGCTATGTGGCAGTTAGAATTTTTTTAATACATCAATTATTTTTTATCCGTATAATTCTCTTGAAATATAAGTAAAAAACTAAAATTCTGAAGCCGTCATCGAAGAATTTAATTGGATATAGATTTTTTGGATTATTTTTATTTTCGTTTTATTAGGTATTTATATATAAATATATAATATATATGTCTAGATTATTAAGGACGGACAAAACTATTAAATAATTGATAATAATTTATTTAATTCAACCGCATAAGAACAAATTGACAGCAGTCATAATTTATTCTTAGTGAAAATCAAGTTTTAAAGAATAAGTATACGATTTATACGAATAAATAGGTAGGTAGGTCGTAGACAAGATTTATAGATAATAAACATAGATAGTTATCTATAAACCTTGAGTCCTTGGTACTAGTTTATTCAAAATAATTTATTTATGTGTGATTCCTTAATAACATTTTTATATGCTCCTGATAATGGTGGACAATGTATGTGTGCACACTCGCAACTATGAATAATATTATAGGTTATTGTACTTATATTATTATCTATACAATAATACGAATTGCGATCTTCAACACATGAATTAATAATATTTATTTAATAAAAAATTCCAAGCAATAATAATGGAAAATAAAACAATATATATAGCTGGTATATTGACATAGATGTGTTTATTTATATTTTATACTATATTACCATTTACCATCATGTTAAACGTCATGGTTTTCAATGTTTATATAATACAACCACTGCGCAATCGGTCACAAAAAATTGACGTCAGCCATGACATTTTCCGGTTTTTGGTAAACAAATGGAACCGCACGTGGGTGATAAACCAACAGTGCGTGTAAGCTATACTGAAACTAGGTTAGTCATATATTTGACTTGGATCTTACGGTGGCAATTCTAAAACCCTGTACAACAATACCCGCCGAGTTTAAGCGAGCTTTCACGTCGTATGTACCTCCCCAACTCCACCCCATGCTGCTGCAGTAATACGGACAAATGTCAACGGGGTCGCCGACTGAATACCTGCAGATTAAACTTGTTTAATTTCATCCACCCAAACAACATAATATAGATATAATGAATTATAAGTCAACCGCACTATACGTACACCAGACTTTCCAGAGCGCGAATTACTTTCTGTTTGTTTTTTACTTAGAACAGAAGATTTTTGGGCTTGGGTAGTTGGGTGAACAACTGTTTAGACCCTGTAGTTTAAAAAAAAAGTAATAATAATAAACAAAGAATAATTCAGAGGAGCTCTGTACAGAGTTAAACAATTATTTGCCATAATAATAAATAATATTTATCTTAATAATCAATAATAATCGAGACTTAAAGTCAAAAAAATAAGATAGTCAGTCCGGGGTGCCATCGAACTTAAGTACCGTTGTAGCGTTATGTCATTCCATCCAAAAAGTACGATCCAGTACCTTACTGTATACATAACAGGATTACTCAACAAATTATATGATAGTAGGTTATTTAAAATCTACACTTTTTATTATATTTTCTTGGTTCAGCTTCGACTACTTAGATTATTGCTTACACAAAACTAAATATTAATGCTAGGTACATACTGTTAAATACTATGGTTCTCCTAGATTAAGTTGTACATATCAATATGTTTGAAGATGATTTTGTTGATGCTGTCTTCGATTGGTCTGAGGACTTCAAAGAGGTTGTCAGGCATTCCCAGACGTTTTCTAGTTTCGATATGGTTTGGATAGTACACAAGGAGGTACTTCACTGTAAAAGGTTTCCCACATGTTTGGCAGTGTTAGTTCTTTTCTGCGCTTAAGATGACCTTGGAACATCTTTGAGTAACCTATACGGCTTTACGTATAGTCTATTTATATATAATTACTTCATTTTTGCTGTTCAATGAGGTTGTATGTGGTAGTATTTTTGATTTCTAAGAGTTTATTATTTGGTATACATCGCCATTTGGATTACCATAAATTGGTAAAAATGGTACAATAGGTGTTGTAACAATCCAATGGATGTCAATAAGTGTGGAGTAGGTGAGAATATTTCCGTCATAGTGTTTTTTACTATTTCTCGAGCTACTTTGATAGCTTTCTCACTGACATAAATTCCACTATGGCCTGGTGTCCATACAAACCATATCTGTTTTTGTTAGCTTTTGCCATTATATTACTTGTTTTAATTGCTAGGGGGCTCGAGTGTAAGTTATACAAGATTGTAAGAGCGCTGAGCGAAGCTTTACAAATGTTGATACTTAATAGTAGGATCAGGCAATTGAATGGCTACTTGGACCCCTTCGAAAAGTGCAACGTATTCCGTTGTATACATGATACTTTTATTATTGTCTAACACTTTTTGAAATTTCGAAATTAAACTTGTACATAATCAACTTAGAAAATAAAAACTCACCAAATTAGAAATAGGAGATAATAAGTTTTAAGTTTTGAAAAAAGCTAAATTTTAATTTAATTTTAATAGGAAAATATTTATTTTTATATTTTATTATTATTAATATTTTATTTTTATCATATTTTTAAATTTTATTTCAAGACAAAATCAAGCCAATTGGCTATATGGTATATTGGTATCATGAAAATTTAAAATCATCTTAACATCAGTATAATTTTTTTGATACTTATACATAATCGGTATTGGAAATGGCTACTCATATGTGTATATATAATATATATATGAGTACATACTACATTATAGCCCGACCGCTACTAGCCATTTTTTCTCATCATGTACAGATTTAATATTAACTGTCTCCGTCAACGAGACAGAGGTGCGTAATTTAATATTCGTATCGACTTTTCAGTAATTATTTTCCAACCCGGCGTGACCGCGGTGTATTACAATGTATGTAATTTATTTATATCATACCTACATCTACATGACTATATTTTATACATCGTAATAACACGGTACCTACGCCCTCGGGCTGCGGTTACGCATACACTTACGTCCATCAGTGGTCAGTTACCTTTATACCTAACTTCAGAGAAAATCGGTACCTATTATAACAAAAAAATGCAGAAAGGGAATGTAAACAATATGTTTGTTGCAGGCCGATTAATCGTAAAAACGATTTTTCTACATTTTATCTTATAACACATAACACATTATTATACCTATTATTTATTGTGTGTGTCGCTTTACAGGCGACGGTAATTTGCATCTAAACGTTGTGACATCGCAGCGAGACGAAGAACTGGCTCGGATGATTGAGCCGTTCATTTACGGGTGGACGTCCAAGTACCGCGGAAGCGTCAGCGCCGAGCACGGCATCGGTTTGTCAAAAACGAAATATTTGGAGCACACTAAGAGTGGGCCGGCCGTCGACCTTATGCGGAGCCTGAAAAATACCATGGACCCAAAGTGTATATTGAACCCTTACAAAGTGATCCCGGCCGTGGCGACCGGCGATCAGTAATCCGGGATCGGAAAAAAACATAATATTTTTATATTTATAATATAACTTGTACGTCACACGTGGTAATAAACTTTGGTACGTACCTTTATACACGGCTATATAAGCACACACATATAAATATTTTATAATATTTTTACGGAATTCCATTTATATATGCGATGGAAAGGGTTTGTGCTGTGATGTGGTTAACTGCAGAAACAGTTTACCTACCCTCCTTGATATGCCCAAATCCCGTAGCTATTTAAATAAAATACAATTTCTGTGGATCGATATCATATTAACATATAATATAGATATATAATATATGTGCGTGTGAGTGTATTATTTGCTGAATGAACAGTCGTTATGCCACGCTATAGCAAAAAAGCATATTTTTTTATAAAAGGTGGTCTTTGAGAGAATGCGACAATAAAGATTGTCCAAAATATTATTTCATCATCTTAACACACCAAGTCACGTTGTTGTGAACACATCTTGTTAGCATATTACATTTAAATAAACACCTGTATATTTTTTATATCAATATATCAATACCTATAGTCATTGATTATATATAATATACATCTTATTAATTTTTTTCCATCAATAGTTTTTGTTTAAACTAATGGATATATTATATGAATCTGCAAATTTATCACAATATAAAGAACAATAAGCACAGTGATCTGAAATCTTAAATATTTGTACAATCTAACCTAGTATTTCAGTCTCTTCCTGCCATTTATTTTGTTTACTCAACTCTATTTTTCCATCGTGGATGTTAATACAATTAAATAAACGAAATAATTGATATGGAGGTTGAATAAAGTTTATAAGGCAATTCACTGTTTATGTCCTTCAGCTCTTGAATTTCGCAATTGTACAAAATAATTAAAAACAATGATATTGATTGTGAATTTGAGATTATACACTCATCTAAAAATATATATATATATATATAAAGTAATAGAAACTAAAACAAAAAGCTAAACATGTGTACATCAATTGCATTATTATAATCAATGTTACTATTTCAAATTTCTCTATGTCCAACACTCTGATTGTTATCTATATAAAAATGCTTAGGTGTCAAGAACATATTACATAGAACAGACACAATAACTAACGTTGATTCCGTGTCAAAGATAATTTTTTTTTTGTATTTTTTTGTTACTTAACAGGTATTTACATACAAATTATTATACTTTGTTTTTTTAACTTATTTTTCATCTGATCAATAAATATTAATTACACCATTATTTTAAGAAAATTAAGATATCTATTTAAATCAAAAACACCTTACTAACATGAGAACATTCATTATAATGTGTTAAATGTAATGCAATTATAGCATCACATTGATGATAATAAATACCCCGTATAGGTACTATAAAAAATATTATTTATAGAGAAATACCTAAGTAATAAAATTGTTTTAATTCTATAGGTACGTATAAAATGGATAGCAGTAATACGAGTGTGTACACGACACCCATATTCTTTTTATTTGATTTGTACAGTAAATTTTATCATTCTGTAAAATGCGATATAAATTGTTGGAGTTTCAAACAAAAATGTTGAACAAGAAAATAATTACACTACACATTTAGTGAACAAAACAAACAAGGATATTATAAGACGTAATGTTTCAAATAAAGTAAGAAATTTTATTTTATTTCATTTTTTAAAAATAAAATTATCTCTCTTTTGTGTTTGCTAAATACAATTCTTTGATTGTTTAAAGAAATAATCCAATAAATACACAATTTTCCTCGTTTTTTATTTCAGTTAAGATACGTTATTTATGACAGTTATAATGATGCTGACAGCCACTAGTTGATGGTTGAGTGTGCGAAATAAAACCAATAAAAAAATATTTAACGAGTTCACTTATTACTTCTCCGGTCACACAAAATTTGATAAGCTTAACGGCTCATTTAAATCGAATGGCCCAATCATAGGTCGTTGTTCAATGTTTAAGGAACTGTTCAATATTTGATGATCCGTTTAACTGTAATGGATATTTTTGGTTTCTGTAACGCGGCATTTATATTATACATTCTAAAAATACTTGAGCAAATTTCAAATCAAGAAAATTAATTTAAGTTATATGTAAATAAACTATTCACCATTAAAATAGCTGCTGCGTTCAATAAATATAAAACAAATACATAATTATACTAATTTCTTATATAAACTAATGGTCTCTAGTTATAATTCTATAACCAATAAACTAATTTAAACAAATATAGTATAGCCTATAAATAATAAATTGGTATTTCAAGCAGTTAAAAATAACTATCTTTATTTTTTAAATTACACGATTAGAAATAATTTCTCATATACCAAAACACACATATGTCATACTCAAACATAAAATACAATCGAGTTTAAAATGTTTAAATCAGATGAACAAAATATATATCGTAGTATCGTACACACTATACAGGATGATTCACCAAGTATGCTCACACCTTTTTATGTTCACACTTTTTTAATTGATAATGTTATTATTCAAAATCTGATTTTTGGAATTTTCAAATATACTTGAAGACCGTATTTTAACATTTTTGAGGTGTGAATTAGTTGTAGCAGAGATCCAACTATTGTTTTTCAAACGATAAGCATCCTTTTCTATTTACTATAAATGATTGAGTAGATAATTGTAATTAAAACGTTGAATTGTTGACGTATCAGAATCAAAATTCGTACAATTAATTTTTAGTTATTTAACTTTGCATACTAAGGGTAATAGGTCCATGATAACTGGTACCTGTGAAATCTATAAAAGATAACGAAAAATCTATGACTTATAAATTGTCAAACCTACTCAATAGTAATTTTAGTTATCTAAATATTTCAAAGTTTTCAATTAGATAATATATAAATGGTATTTAATCAATAGCTTTAATTTCTGAGTTTTAATATTTAAATTTTTTCTTACCTAAATTATTTCAGTATTTATATTCATTAATACTATATAATATTATACTTAACTGTTAATATTAATTTGAATGTATACCAACGTTATTCGCTGCTAATTTAACTATAAAGTGAATAGAAATAGAATTTAACTATTATTAATAAGTATAGGTATATTGTATACTACATCATATTTTACACTATTTATTGTGTACCACTATTTTTAAATTATGTAACATTCAGACATAAACTAATACATAAGTCATAAATACATTTATCTAATTTGCTTCTAACAATCATATTTTGTGACTGTTAACCCAAAATAAATATAAACAATTTTAACAAATATTTCAAAAGCTAAATCAATTGAAATGTTCGTGTTCTGTAGTTATGATTTATTGTAGCCTGTACATTTGCTTTTTACCTACGCTATGTTTTATTACATAATATTATACTCTTTTAAGTTGTATAACTGTAATAAATAATTTTAATTAATTATGTTAAGTATACAATTCTGTATAATTTATTTTGTGATAATATGAATTGAAATATGATAATTAAAATATAGTAGGTACATAAAAAAAGGCTGTGATAAACATTACAATTTATAAGTTATTGGCTTATTGTTATATTACAGTAATTTCCTTCGGGGTATAAATTTATTGCATTTTAGTCAAACTAGCTATTCAAAGCAAATATTAAATTTAGAAATATTTAACTAATAAAATATGATTCATACTATTCACTCATAATTTTGGCCAACTAGAATTTTTCTCCTGAATGCAGTGTAACTAAAAATACCCTTCTTTTTAATTATGAGATTACGAGTAGAGCGATGAATGTATTGGTTTTACAACGATGTAAATGTGTCTGAAGAAACTTTTTATATAGTAGTAGGGGGTGGATCAAAAGTAAAAATGTCAGAGTAATTTTAAAAATAATCGGGAAATACATCATAACACAATATCCATTTCAGTGACTCATTGTAATTATTTTGGAAGCAACCCGGCTTCCCTGGATTTTTTAATTTCAAAAATACAACGATTTCCATGTTGAAATAAAAAATAAATGTATACTTACTTCAGTTTACCTTGTGAATTAATCTGAAAATTATTTATCGAAATGTTTTTAACAGCTTTTATGATATTATATATTAAACTGAATACTGATTATTGTACCCTATCGAACAACAAGTAAACATTGTATTAACTATATATATTATTATACTCGTAGCACCTATAATAGGTATTTGGGTATTCCATGCGCTTTTATTCAACTATTGTGTAAATGAATAACCATTGTGTTTTAAACACACGCAAACGTTACAACTAATCAACTCAACTCGGTAATTTTCAATTTTGTTTACACCTATTATGTATGTACTATGTACCTATAGGTATGTATATTGTGTACATAAATGAATAATTACAAAATAAATTAACACGCTGTCTACAAATCCATTATCGAAAAATACAGGTACGCAATAAAACGTGTTTAAAGTTTAAAACGTATGTTATACTTTAAATACTACGTACTATACATACATGTGTATTTATATCATAATGTGCATTTTTAATGTGAATCTGTAAAACGTTAATTACCATAATTGGCATATAATTTATAACCCTGGTGATATTATACTGATTAGTGGTATGTATACTATATGGTCTATAAGTATAGACAGTGTACGTTTTTTTATTTCCACTAATACCATCGATTTTTCATAGAAACACTAATATAGTATTATTAGTAGCGTAATTTATAGTATGAAATAAAATTTTTCATTGAAAATCGCTACATAATTAAATAATTTATTCAATTTGTTATATTTTTTTTTTGGTTTCAAAACTATTAAACTATCACATAAATGTTATTTTTATATTTTTGTAAAATGTATACTAATCATCAAAATCGATTTTACCAAATCCCAAAGAACAAAGAATAAATAACTCATAAATATTAGAAAAGTCATACCTTACATACTGTAGAGTGTAGATTGTTTCACATATCTTTGCATTCAATAGATAATCTACTATATTTTTCAAAATATCAAACTTACTTTGCTAAGTATTAACATAATATTGTATTTATGATTACATCACTCATGGGCATTTTTGAACAAATAGTATCGTATGTTTACTTTTCTAAATCAACTGAAAATATTTACAAAACCTTTAACAAGATTATACGATTGTACTATGTTTATACATGATAGACTACACAAAATTGTTCAAAAAATTTAAAAAACATCATACAAATGTATTTATTTTGTTTTTAATTGTTTGTGCATGAGCATGACACATTGACATTTATATATAAACTACGTAATGTATGTAAATACATATTTATTCCAACTAAATTTAGTATCTCCAATATTTGTTTAAAACGTTAAACGTTATCAACTAATTTTGAATAAGTATAATTAGTTGTTTCTATAATTATATATCATAAGTAAGACAGTAATGTCACTAAACAAACTATTGACTCTAGTAGGTATACCTAGTATTACTAATACTCTACCGATTTTTGTAGGTACCGATTTTTGTAGGTACCGATTTTTGTATAGATAACAGTTAAATGTTCAAACAATAAAATATGAAATAACCTTTTAATTAAAATATATATAAATGGTTTCTGAATTACTAATAAAACAAAATTCGTTTAACTTTATGCATACTGTCGTCACTCGTCATGCATACAAACATAAGACATGTACAGGGCCGTCGTTAAGGGTAGAAAGCCCTGGCATTTGCCTCTGGCCTCGCAGTTCGCACTTATATTTTATAGTTAAAATATTATTTAAAATTATTTAATTTTAATTTTTATATTTATATTTTTTTTTGATCGAATTATTGTACAATGTACATTAGTATGAAGAAAAATATTATGCTGTTGAGTTTTAATTTATATTGGGTGTTGTAAAGTATAATTTTAATTTAATGCAGTTTCTGACTAACCTACAAGCATTGGAAATTACAAAAAAAGCTTGAAGTTATTTTCCTAAAACTTAAATTACTTCTCGAATCATTTTGAAGATTTCAGTTATATAGGTACTTCTCCTTGCACTGAGCGATCATTCTCAAAACTAAAGCTCTTAAAAATATATTTAAAGAATACAATGACGCAAATCAGATTATCTGGATTAGCAATGCTTTCCATAGAAAACGAAATGGTTTAATAAAGAAAAATTTTTTTTTAATTTTGTATCATAATCAATCATATTTTGCTCTTAATTAATAATTGTCTACTACGGCTATTTAATATAACACAAGCAAAAACATGTATAATTTATTCATTTAAAGTGTATATTACGTTATATTTGAAGTTTAACACTTTAATTACATTTGTGGTTTAAAAAACTAGTTTCTTCTTTTAAATATATATATATTTATGAAGATGTCCTGACTGACTTACCATAATCAACTTTGTGTGACTACCTGTTGGATTTAACTCTACAAAGAAATTATAACTATACATTTTTGGTCAGAGACGCAGGTATTTCTCAGCCAAGTTAATTCAGAGGCCTAAGGTCACTCTAGATCTAAACGCTATTCACGCTAGTATTATTGACAGCAAATCTCATTGGTTTTATACTATAATAAATTATAGAGCCTCGCAATTTAGAAATTGCCTAAGGCCTCACCAATCGTAACGACGGCCCTGGACAAGTAATGCATGTGATAATTGGTTTATCTATATTATAAAGTAGTATCATAGTACCTAACTTATTGTATACATACAATTATGTATACAACGACGACAACAAATTACAACAAAATGTCTCGTCACATACAATACATTGTAGATCTTATGTAAGTTCCATCCCTCAGTTAGAACTAGCATTTGCATTTCTTACATAATAATGTCTTAATAACTAATACCTTGGAATAAAAAATATAAAATTTCTTGAATCAAAACACTATTCAAAACGTCTATACTCTATAATATAGTCTATATCAATTCATTTAAATTAATATCTTTATAATTTTTAATAATTGCCATGACTCAAGTATTGATGTTATTTATATTAACATAAATATATTAATTATAATATACCATCAACGATTAAACATGAAAAATAAAATTCCTGGATTTGCGGTTTCATCAAAATATAACCAATTATATTATATTATAATATATTATACTATTATATTATTATTATTTCATAATTAAATTATGGGCTAAAAATTAAAAGCTATGTTATTTAGTATTATA